ACACACACACACACACACACACACGCACACACATATAGATGTAGTCATTTTTAGGTTGCTGACTCAAGAATATTTGAACAGTAAAATTAGATGCCAATATATAGTCCGTATTTTAAAAGAAAAACTGCAGCAGAGCCCAATGTGGGGCTTGAACCCATGAACCATGAGATCATGATCTGAGCCGAAATCAAGAGTCAGATGCTCAACTGACTGAGCCACCCTGGTACCCCAATCTACACATTTCAGTTTAAACATGAGGAAATGAATTCCAAAGTGGTTAAGGAGCTTTTCCAGAACCACAAACCGAGGACTGAACCCAGCCTACTTGATGACTGGTCCTGAGTTTGATAAATATAGATCTTAAAATAAAATAAAAAAAAGAATGACAGAGCTGGTATCTTTAAAATGACTGTCAAAGTGTGTTGCTTTATGAAGTCAATTAGAAAAATCAGTGAGTTAGTCACTTAAGTCCCGATGATCAAGGGGCTACCACCTCTTCTACTAGGAGTGGCTCAGAGAACTGAGAAAACAAGACTCAATCCCATATTCCTCCATTCATAAGACTGGCAGGGAGGGAGCTGAATATGACAAGTAAGGGTTTTTGATTATTTATGTTAAATGTATCAATATTTGTAAAGGACATAGACCAGTGCCTGGATCATAGTAATGAGCTTTGTGCTTATTAAATAAAATAAATAAGTTTATACTTATTAAGAGATACCTGAGAATTATCTGAAAACTTGTAGTTTATTACACATGGTGCTTTTGTTTCTTAGAACCTTCTCATAAACTCTTTGTTAATTAAAACTAGATATAAAAATAAATAAAACTAGATTTTTTTCTTTCAAAAATCCATGTGCCTTCACTTTTATATACACACACACATAAATTCCTAAGGAAGAAACTTCATCTTTGTAAGAAATTAAGAAAGATTCAATTTCCCTTTGAAAACTGTACCATAACCTTTAAAAAAGAATGACAGTGCCAAAACCATGTACTGAAAGCCTGAATTAGACACACTTAAAAAAATAACTAATACATTCTTACCTTTCCAAGGTTTTCCTGTTCAGCAATATTTTTTGTATACTGCTCCCTGGGGAATCAACATAATGACTTAGTTTCAATTTATTTCAATTGATTTGGTCATACAACTAAATTATAAATTAACATATCTATCTAAATATATTACACAGAGGAGTCAGAATGAAACCAAATACTCTCTTTCCCCATCTTTAGTCAATTCTTCTAGTAATTAGTAATTTATGGGGAAAAAACCCCATAAAACACCACATAATTAAGAGAATTAAAATGTTAAGTCCTATTTCTGTATTTAAAATAGTACTTAAGTACTATTTTACACTTAAAACAATGGCAAACCATCTTTCTAAGTCACAATTTTTAAAAGTTTTTATTTATTTAGGTAATCTTTACACAAAATGTGGGGTTCAAACTCACAACTCTGAAACAAAGAGTTGCATGCCAGCCAGGCGCCCCAGTCACACTTTTTTTTTTAATTTTTTTTTAATTTTTTTTATTTTTGAGACAGAGAGAGACAGAACATGAACGGAGGAGGGTCAGAGAGAGGGAGACACAGGATCTGAAGCAGATACCAAGCTTCCAGCTGTCAGCACTGAGCCCAACGCGGGGCTTGAACCCATGGACTGTGAGATCATGACCTGAGCCGAAGTCGGACGCTTAACCGACTGAGCCACCCAGGCGCCCCCACACTTTATTTTTGAAGAGGTTTATAGAAAGGAGAAAGGATACACATTTTAAATAAACATTAACATCTAACCCTGCAATTCTACTTCTGGGAAGTCATCCTAAAAAAGACTCTCATAACTTAAGAAAGGTAAATGTAAAGACTATTTACTTCACCATTGTTTATAACAGTAAAAATCTGCAAACAAACTAAATGTCAATAGATGGGTAAATTTTTAATAAATTTGGTATATCCATTCAAAGGAATAACACAGAGTTGTAAAAAGGAAGGAGTAGATCTATAAATACTGAAGTGGAAAGAACTCTAGATATAAAATTAAGGGAAAAACTGTATCTTAAGTTTAACTTTATTTTGTATACACACACATAAAATTTCCCCCATGCATTTGCTAACACACACACACACACACACACACACACACACACACACACACACGCAAATGCATGGGGAAAGAATATGGAGTAATTATACACCAAAATATTAACAGTAGGTATTTCTGAGGCATGGCAACATGGACAACATTCAGTTTTTGTGTACTATACTTCATAATGCTTACTTTTTTTTTTTTTTATAAAATTTTTTTTTCAAAGTTTATTTATTTTTGGGACAGAGAGAGACAGAGCATGAACGGGGGAGGGGCAGAGAGAGAGAGGGAGACACAGAATCGGAAACAGGCTCCAGGCTCTGAGCCATCAGCCCAGAGCCTGACGCGGGGCTCGAACTCACGGACCGCGAGATCGTGACCTGGTTGAAGTCGGACGCTTAACCGACTGCGCCACCCAGGTGCCCCTTACTTTTGTTTTTATAAGCATCTCTTTTACAAGCTAAAACAGCTCATAATTTTCAAGTAAAAATAAAAATACAATAACATTGTATTGTGTTTTTAAAAATATAAAAGATATAATTATATTTTAACACTCCATAAGACAAAAGTGATATTTAAAGTATTAAGGACAGGGGCGCCTGGGTGGCGCAGTCGGTTAAGCGTCCG